TATCCATGTAGTAATACTGCTTGCAAACCAATGATGATAAGATGATGTTAGGGGGTAGGACTAGATAAGTCTAACTTCTTCCTACTCCGTTCAAGCATGTACTAGGTATAAGCAAATTGAAAATATTTTTGTGGACATGTCTGGAATTATGTGTGATTACATACTGACTGTTGTTACATGTTTGAAAGAATAAATAAATCAAATCAAATCTTATGTGGTGTTTAGTCTTATACCTACTGGAAAAGCTCTGATCAGTGGGCCCAAACAATCTGTAGATTTTTTTTTAAATACAGTTTTCTGCTGTTATTCAGGGTGGAAATCTGAGGAGTACTGCAGAGTGATTGTTTTTGCTTTCAGTGTAAAAGAACATTCATTTAACTACCACTCAGTGTAAAAGAACATTCATTTAACTAACAACTTGTTTGAGCAAAAACAAGCACAAAAATGCATTAAAGCAACCTGAAGTCATCCTGAGCAGAGCGGAAGAAAACACTTCACATGAACTTTAAATTTGAGAATTTTTTTAATTTCGTCAACATTTCAAGACAGTGTGTGAACATTTGTTGGATGACTGAGCAGTATTTATTTATTAGCCACATGAGCTGTGGCACTGTGGCCTTCTCTCAGGGAAACTTTCAGAGAATGGAAAGGTATTCGGAAAATATTGTTAATATAACCATGAAAAAACTAAGAAACAGAGTCTGAACAGAACCAAGCACTTGAGATTTAATACAACTGAAAGTCTTAAGCCCTTTTCAGACCGGCAACCTTACCCATGAATTTACCTACTGTTTCACATCTGGGCATCACGTCTGGACAAAGCCACGTGTCACGCAGCCAGCAGAGTGCTACCAACAACAAAACATTACTAGGAATTTCATGCACAGTGGCTTTGAACACCAAAATAAACAAAACAAAACTAACTGGTACACATCCACATACGGACAGCATATGTACAGGTACCATGTCTGAAAGGGGCTTTACACTGTTACATCACTAACATTTAACAACCGATGGTTAAAGCACAGTAAAGCCAGAGACTGAAAAAAACTTTAATACTGTAAAAGCAAATGCAACTATATTTTATAGATGATTATATTTACTGAAGATGGAAAAAACCATTCTAACACAAACACATGTGTTCTGATGCTTGAGGAGCCTCTGGATCACTCTTCATCAACATCCATGGACTCATCACCCTTGACTATTTTTTCTAGGTATGGATTTCCCTTTGCTTCCTCCTGAACTCTCTTCAACAGCTCCTCACTTCTCTCTTCCTTCATCTTACTCACAAAACTTTCAAATATAGTAAGCAGAGGATGGGCACACTCAATCACATGCTCTTCCATGTTTCTAAACTCATAGACATATCCTGCAGTGTGCAGACCAAAAACTCTGCACTGACCATCAAACACTGGGGAACCAGAAGAGCCGTGATACATGAACGTGTTGTAGGTCACCACTTGTTCTGCTTTGTTTCCACCCATCATTATGTCTTCAATGCCTTGATTTGTGATCAGTTGCCTGATTGAATGGATAATGAACACAGTCTCTCTGTATGGCCATAAATGTTCATCAACAGCCTGCTCTCTCTTCTCTTTCTCAATGATACATGTAGGATCCATTTTCTTCACTCCTCCTGCTGGGTGGCCGATAATACAGGCTTCACCATTTGGAGGCATTGGGCCAAATTTCTTAAGGAGCCCTGGTGGTATACTTGTTTTCTTGTTTTTGGTTTTTGTGTTGCTTCTCTGGCCCTCAGGGTTGAGCTCTATTATGGCATAATCCAGGTCACCATCAATGTCAATCAATGTTTTCTCACCCCTGAAGTAGTAGTAATTTGTCTTTGGCTCTGGATCATCATAGTTAAACAGAGCAAACACATCTATACCGTCCTTCAGATTTCTTCCTTCAATACAATCTTTAAATTCACGAAATAAATGGACATTAGTCAGGATGAAGTTATCAAACAGTACAAAGCCAGTTCCCTGACAAACACCCTCAACAATCACTTTACAAACTGAGTTGCCAAGTTTCAGCAGCTTCCTGACTCTGTGAACCTCACTGAATGATGCTTGGATCTTTCCAAAGTTTTCCTTCCTCAGGTCTATTTCTTTCCGAAAAGAATCACCAGGGAATCTGCTCTCCAGCAGTTTTATCAGATCTGGAAACTGCTTTCGGGGTAGCTCATAAATCTCCTCAGTGCCGACACTGATTCCTCTCTGCTGTGCTACATCTGAGACCGTCACTGTGTCACTTGTCTGGTTTGAACTACCTGATGCACGTGGACTTTCCATTGGTGCCTCTGAGACTGTGTCAGATTTGTGTTGTGAACCAATTGATGCATGAGGGTTTTCCTGTAGTGTTTTTTCCTCGCTTTCATGGCGATAACATAACTTGAGTTTTTTGTCATCTTGATTGTCAACAGGCTGTGTGCGTTCAATCTTAATCTTTGAATGATCATTGTCGGACAGAGAGAAGCCACCAAGGTCATCAGTGAAGCGACCGTCTCTTTTCAGAGCCTGTTCCACAGTCATGCCCTTCTCTGCATAAACACGGAGATACTTGAACTTTGTGAAAACATTGTTTCTAAATTTTTTTTTTGATTTGGCATTTTTTCCTCCTATAGTATCAATGTAGAAGACAGAGTATTCTTCCCTGGGATATATCGTGTAATTTTGGTCTTGGATCTTCTCAGCCGTTTTTGGTTGATAGAATATGGTAACCAGCTCCCTATCGCTGATACAAGTACAAGGAAAATGGGTTGCAACAACATATTCCATATGTCCCTGACCCAGCCGAATTACAACGTTTTCATCTAACCATTTGTTCCTCAGCTCCTCTTGATACTTTTCAGTTGATTTAATTGCCTCCAGCACTGTGCAGGGGCCAGGACAGGAAACATCGTATTCATCCTGGTCACGGGCCTTGAATTTCACTCTGAATGAGTGAACTTTGTGGAATTGTCTGCCCTGCAGAAAAGAGTGATAAAGTAAAAGTTAAATGCCCCTGTTGTAATAAAAGTGCAGCCTACTGTGTGCATGCAGTCTGTAACATAACACTGACCTTGGTATCACCATCCTCCTCCCCCTTCACTTTCACTGGAGTCTACAAAATGAGGAAAGGATTTCAGAATCAGGATAAGATTTAGATTTTCTGTAGCAAAAACAGTTTTCAGAAAGTTTGACAAAAAGGTGTTTCGTGTTTTTCAACATCATTTCATATGCATATACAGTAGAGCAGAGTGTATCCTCCACACATTTCTAGTTTAGATGGTTTGACATGTAACCCAAAGCACACACAGTACATTTTTAATATCTCCTGAACTCTTTTCAACAGCTGCCCATTTCAACCTTCCTTCAGCTTACTCACAAAACTTACAAATATAGTAAGCAGAGGAAGGGCACACTCAATCACTCTGTGTGGTTTTCAAACCCACAGGTAAATCCTGCGATGTGCAGACCAAAAACTCTGCGTTCATCAAACACTGGGAGCCAGAAGAACTGTGATACATGAAAGTGTTGTAGGATGACACTTTTTCAGTCAGGATGAAGTTATCAAACAGTACAAAGCCAGTTCCCTGACAAACACCCTCAACAATCACTTTACAAACTGAGTTGCCAAGTTCCAGCAGCTTCCTGTCTCTATGAACCTCACTGAATGATGCTTAGATCTTTCCCAAGTTTTTCTTCATCAAGTCTAACTTGTTACAGTCACAGGGACTGAATTTCACTGTGAAACGATGTAGATGTTTGTTCCCTGTAGGAAATCAAAGTTAAATGTCCCTGTATTAAGGCCAGAGCATATTCTGAGCAGGCAGTGTATCACAGTACCTCAGCGTCATGCTCTTTCTTCATTCTCGTGTCACGGCCTGCAGCAGTCTGGGAAATGACAACAAGACTTAATTTGATGCTGTAAAACACATGAACCCCATTCATGAAATGTTTACAGCAGCAGCTGGTAGTGGGGTTTTCACAAGTGGATCTGCCAGCAGCTTCCTGTTATTCCACTGATCGACACTTGGTGGCCGTAATGAGCGAGATTCTTAGAAAGTAAACATGTTTTACAATTCAGATGTAAAATTCTGTCAAAAAGTGGCTTTGTAAATATTTCATGAGACGCAAAGGAAGAAATACATATATTCATCACATTTATGAGGCTGCAAGAATACACAACATGTTTTTTGATAAACACTGAATGTAAACTACTTAAAACTAACATCCATCATGCATAACTCCTCCCATCCCCTGCACCACACAGTGGAGGCTCTGAACAGTTCTTTTAGCACCAGACTGTTTCATCCCCAGTGTAAGAAGGAGTGTTACCGTAGGTCGTTCCTCCCCTCAGCAATCAGACTGTACAACACATCACTGCAGGGATAAGCTAGGTGAAAGTATGAAGGACTATGTAATAATCAACTGAGGTGCAATATTCAGCTCCTGGGGGTGAAATGCACTGTAAATAGGCTCATGTGTAAATTCTGTTCTTGATTATTCAAATACTTGATTCTGTCTATTTTTGAGTACTTGGAATTTATTTATCAGGAT